GCATTAGTATTTTTATTTTTTTTAAAAAAAAGAGAGAGAGGAAAAAGTGATATTAGTGACAAATTAAGCATGTTTTGACAAATGTGTTTGAGAGACATTAAGTGGTTCTTACAACTTAGAAAAAAGCACTAAGTTGATCCTGAGAGAACTCTTCCAACTTTGGGTTAGAAACTCCCCACCCCTTTGGGGAAGCCCCGTGTTGAAATCGCTTGGAGGGGTTGGCTCTATCAGGCCGTGTGTTGAGTATGTCTGCTGTAATACCTGTGCCCCCCTCCCCAAAAGTTTCCCACCTGCCCACCCCATCCCAGCAGACCCCTGTCTTACGACCAGGGGCCCCACCTTCCCAGAAAACCCTCATTTGGGCCAGTTAGGTGGGCACCTTTGTAACTTTGCACAGTTAAAAGTGTGGCACCTGCTCAACTTGATGTGAGAAATTATTTGCTTGGTCACTCTTAACAGTCCTCCTCTCTCCTGCTGATGTCAGGCTCTCTGTGAAAGAGTTCTTTTTATGTACTTAAAAAAAGAAAGTGCGCTTTAGTAAATTTGTACAGTTTTGTCTTTTAGCCTTTTTCCAAAAAAGTGTTTAATCTTTTCCTAGCGATAACGTGCAGACATTAAAAAAAATGTACAGTGGTTTATTTTGTCTTCATTCTCAGGAGCAAAAGTGGCTTTTCACCTTAGTCCATGGGGTGGGTTTTCGGAGAACCTCGGGTTTTCTTTTGTCATTGGGTGTGTCTCTCTATTTTGAGCAGAACTGTGTGCAGGTGTCTGGTGCTTCCTTTCAGCTTGGTTTTTAAAAATGAAGTTTCTAATCAAGGTTTGACTCCTAGGTAGGAGCAGTGGTGCCTGTGGGAACCAAGTGGTTTTCCAGCAGAGGTTGGATGACCATCCGTCATGGATGCTTTAGCTGAGATTCTACATTGCAAGGGGGTTGTACTAGATGACCATTGGGGTACCCATCCAACTTTACAGTTCTTTGATTTGTGCATTTATCCATTAAGCAGTAGGTAAAGTGCAGGTACAAACATCATGGTTACATGATATGGTAAAATGTTTCTCAATTGTAGGTCAAGAAACATAAAAATGGCTAGCGAGTCATTTACGAGGTCTGAGCCTGGAGCCCCAGATGAGACCTTCAGTACTTACAGTGTTCAGGCTAATAGAAAGAACAGCTGGAGAAAACTTAACTTCCTTCTAGGTGAGGGGTGTGACCACAACCTAGCTGAGTCTAGGGGTACAGATTTATGGTCTTAACCTCTTGGTGCAATAACTAGCATGGCACATGCTATGGTTATAGTTGGCTGCAATCTCCCACAAAAATACTTAGGCTTAAGCTAGAGTAGAAGAGGCAGCAGTTCTTGTTCATCAGCCCTGATCCCCAGGAGAGCTGAATCATTTGTTTGCATGTTTCATGGTCTGGCTACACGCAAACTTGTAAAAGGGTGGAGGAGTGGGTGCACTCTAAGGGCTGAGCTGGGAATTGAGCAAATTCCCTGGTTTGAATCCTGCCTCACCAGGTGTCTTAAGTTAAGCCCCTTCTGCATCGAATCTCCACATCAGTTTTCCCTGCCTGCGCTATGGAGGCTAATAAATACTGATCTTCCTTGCAGGGATGTAAGCCTTGCAAAAAAGGAGAATGAGTAAGAGGAAATTTTGACTACTATTCTTAAGAAAGAAAAGCAAGTTAAAGTCTCCCTTGCAGAGCTATTCAGCCCCTCACATTCATTTCTCCTTACATTCATTTCTCCTCACATTCATTTCTCCTTAATAGAAGCATGGAGCCTGTTGAGACTGTATTCTGCTCTGGTCAGACCTCACCTGGAGTACTGTGTCCAGTTCTGGGCACCACAGTTCAAGAAGGACACTGACAAACTGGAACGTGTCCAGAGGAGGGCAACCAAAATGGTCAAAGGCCTGGAAACGATGCCTTATGAGGAACGGCTAAGGGAGCTGGGCATGTTTAGCCTGGAGAAGAGGAGGTTAAGGGGTGATATGATAGCCATGTTCAAATATATAAAAGGATGTCACATAGAGGAGGGAGAAAGGTTGTTTTCTGCTGCTCCAGAGAAGCGGACACGGAGCAATGGATCCAAACTACAAGAAAGAAGATTCCACCTAAACATTAGGAAGAACTTCCTGACAGTAAGAGCTGTTCGACAGTGGAATTTGCTGCCAAGGAGTGTGGTGGAGTCTCCTTCTTTGGAGGTCTTTAAGCAGAGGCTTGACAACCATATGTCAGGAGTGCTCTGATGGTGTTTCCTGCTTGGCAGGGGGTTGGACTCGATGGCCCTTGTGGTCTCTTCCAACTCTAGGATTCTATGATTCTATTCTATGAGACACTTTTAAGTCCCAACCTATCCCTTTAAAAACTTTCTTATTGGTGAACTGGCTTTGTCAGTCAAAGAGAGCTGAAGAATCAATTGAAGGACATGGATTGTTATGGTACTGGGCCTTGATTATGGTACTGGGCCTTGATTTTGATAGGTTGGGCTTGCTTAATTGATGCGCCAACAATCCATTCTTCACAGAGGATGATGAGAACATTTGTGGAGCACAGCAGTAAAGGGTTGGGGAGTTTGAATCAGCCAACACATCCGGTTCTGATTCAAGTGCCCTGCTCCATTTCAGGGATTTAGAAATAAGATTAAATTAGCCCACAAATGTGCCTAATGCTTACCTGGGAGTAAGTCCCATAGAATTCTATAGGGCTTCATTCTGATTGTACATGCACAGCATCATGGTATGCATCTTTTAACTTCCATCAATGTGTTTTCTACATCTATGCCCTAAGGCAGAGGTTTTCAACCTTTTTGAGTCGACAGCTCCCTTTACCGACCACATTATTTCTGTGGGTCCCCTGTGGGATACAGGGGAAACCCCACTTAACACTGGGACTTGGATTTGAAGGTTGCTATGTTCTAACCCCAGGGATGCGGGTGGCGCTGTGGATTAAACCACAGAGCCTAGGACTTGCCGATCAGAAGGTTGGCGGTTCGAATCCCTGTGATGGGGTGAGCTCCCGTTGCTCAGTCGCTGCTCCTGCCAACCTAGCAGTTTGAAAGCACGTCAAAGTGCAAGTAGATAAATAGGTACCGCTCCAGCGGGAAGGTAAACGGCGTTTCTGTGCGCTGCTCTGGTTCACCAGAAGCAGCTTAGTCATGCTGGCCACATGACCTGGAAGCTGTACGCTGGCTCCGTCGGCCAATAAAGCGAGATGAGCGCCGCAACCCCAGAGTCGTCCGCAACTAGACCTAACCGTCAGGGGTACCTTTACCATGTTCTAACCCCAACAGGCTTCACTGGAAGTCAATGACACTGTCTGCCGTAACCATCAGTTTCAATGTTTTCAGTTTCAATTGTACTGAGTAAAATTAACACTGGCAACAACCCTATAGAAGATAAGATATAATATGATATTAATATAATATAATATAATAATATAATATAAATATAAATCTGGCTCAGGGAAGACCCACTGGAGGCCAGTGACCCCCTGAGTCAACCACACCAATCAATTTTGGTAGGTCTCTTGGGTATTATTACTGTTTCAGTTTATTGCCCATCCATTACCCACCTATTTTAATGGGTTTCCTCTTGAGCAGGACCCAACATTGCCTACAACCCAATAATGATGAAAATGGGTTTCCCCAGCAAAGGCCTACTCAAGTGTAGAATCCACTGGGGTCAACAGGTCCAGGTTGCTCCACTATCTTTCAACAGAGACAGCTTTGGCAGGAAGAAGTCACCCCAGGGTGCCACAGCACACTGGTTGAAAACCTAGGCCCTAAGAAGTAGGTCACCACACAAAAAAACCAACCACAGCAAAAGCAGAGAGAGAGATATGGACACCCTATTAAGTGTCTGTGAGAGGGGAGGTCATTCTATCCTTTCCTAACTTCCTATTGAACCTTCCCTGAGGAGTAGAATCTTACTGCATAATCTGGAAAATGAGAATTTATTTATTGGCAGTACATAGGTTCTATCCCCAGTTACAACTGTAACCCTGAAAATTTAGGGAGGAAATACAAAACTCCTTACAAAGCGGGTAAAAACAATTATAACTTTTATTTTTAAAAACTCCATTGCTTTCAAATGGGAACCTGAGAAGGGCCAGTGCAATAAATTGTACTTTTATGTGCTTGCACAGAGTCTGCAACATAGAGATACCTGTTGGGCAAAGCAATATATTAATACACCAACTTGCAATGGCACCTGTGTGCCTTTTATTATTAACTATAAATGCAAAAACGAAGAGGATTTCCCCATAGAGACCGATTGCCACTCTGATTCCATAGGGGGGGAAAGATATCCACCATCTGATGCTTCGCATTCTTACCCGAAGACGCGATTGTCTCTCAACTAACTCTATGACGGAAGAAAAGGGGCGGGGAGAAGGGGGAATGACGAAGGAGGCGTGTCTTAAGCCGGGTGCGATGAAGTTGAAGGATCTTTGAGACCCGCCCTCTATTTGTTCTTATTGGCCTATTCCTCCCCTTCCCCCTCCACTGACCTCACCCTTTAGAACTTCCCATTGGCCACATCCCGCTGCCTATCAAGCAAAATCGGCGGATTAGAATATCACGTGAGGGGGCGCGCCTCGAACCGGCACGCAGATAGGCGAGGCGAGGCGAAAAGAGGAGAGGCGGGGAGTCACAAGGGGGCGTGGCCTCTACAGAAAGTGGGCGCGGTTAACAGGCACGCAGACGTGCGAGGCGAAAAGCGGAGGGGCGTGGCTTGATCGGGGAGGGGCGGGGCCTGGAAGGGGAAAGCAGTGACGGCGGAGAGGAAAACCAGAAGGGGGCGTGGCGCAGCCAAGCCGTCGGATAGGCTGCGGTCGGCAAGTGGGCGGGGAGAGCAGCCGGCGTCGTCGAAAGCGAGGGAGGCAAGAGTGGGCGTGGCCCGAGGCTGGAAGCCGATCGCCCGCCTTTTCTTCCCCTTTGCCCTCCCCCGCGCACGCGCACTGGCCTCCCGGGGCCTTTCCTCCCGCCTCCTGTCAGCGGCCACCTGAGGGAGCCTCCTCCCCTCCCCCACCGCGCTTCCCTCCCCTCAGCCGGGCCAAGCCGGGCCTTGCCTCGCTGAGGAGGGAGGAGGACGAGCAGGGAGGAGGAGGAGGAGGAGGCCCTCGGGAGGAAAAGCTGAGGTAAAGTCCGCGGGGCCTTCGCTCGGGGGCTTCGAGGGGAGGGCGAAGAAAGAGGTTCCTGCCGTGAGGGGGGATTTATTTTTTGGGGGGGGGGATCCCCACCCCCACCGCACAAACACCCACCGCGTGTCACTTAGGAGGGAGGGAGAGCAAACGGAAAGGGGCGGATTTCTAATATTTTAATTATTTTCATATTATTTCTTCAATTTCCATATCCCGCCCTTCCTCCCAAAGGAGCCCCCACATTTTCCTGCCCCCTTTTCTGTCACGCGAGGGCGCAGCGTGGGGGGAGGGGAGAGCATAGGTGTGTGGCCTGGGCGCTTTTTCCGGGGGGGGGTGCGGTACTGGCACCTTTTTTCCCCAAGAAGAAAAGCACTATGTATATATAATATTATATCTGTATGTATGTATGTCTGACAGGCCAGTGTGAGTATTCACAGAATTTTGTAGAGTTGGAAAGGGACCCTGAGGATCATCCAGCCCAACCCCCTCAAGGCAGGAATAGGCAGCTGTCCCTACGTGGCCTTCTCAGCACCACGCTCTAACCGGGAGCCATGTAAACGTGTGTGTGTGTTTTCGAGCTGGTTTTGTTGGTTAAGGGGCAGAAAGCAGGGGGTGTTTTTTTGGGGGGGGGGGTTCGAGAGGTTGAGCAGAGGGAGTTTTGGGGGTTGGGTTTGGAGGGGTTGAGGAGAGAAATCTGGGGAAGCATTTGGAGTTTAGGGGGCGTTCAGGTTTTGCGGCTGAGTAGAAGTTTGTTTGGGGGTGTTTGAGGGGTTGAGGGGATGAGCAAAGGGAGGTTTGTGCTAAGGTGTCAAAGGATTTGGTAGTAGGAAGCAGGAGGGGTGTTTGCGATGGAAAGGAGTTAGGTTGGGTGGTTTAGGTTCAGGGGAAGCAATAATAATAATAATAATAATAATCTGCACCATCAATGGCTAACATTCATTTGTTCCCCACACATCTGACTGGGTTGCCCCAGCCACTCTGGGTCGCTTCTAACACATAAAAAACATAATAAAATATCAAACATTTCAAAACCTCCTTATACAGGGCTGCCTTCAGATGTCTTTTAAAGGTTATATAGTTATTTATCTCCTTGACATCTAATGGGAGGGCTTTGGAGATGGTTTGTGGGAGGGGGGGTTCAGAGGGATTTTGGGGGTGCTCAAAGAATGAGTACTGAGGACAGCATTTAACAATATACCACTTGATTGTCACAAGGCTTTTAAGGGGTTTACAAGCAATATTAAAATTATCAATAAAAGCATTTACAGATAATTGAAATTAAGAGTTAAAAAGTAATAATTGTGGTTCACAACATCTAGGGAGCCCAGCGTATGTGTCCATCCCTGTTGTACATTACAATTCTATGTAGCTTTCTGGATCCAGACCCCAAAGTTTTTGTTCTGCATGTAGGTGGCAGCTTAAGCAAGGAGATGGTAAGTGTCTGGCACATCTCCCCTCACACATTAAGTGGGGGAAAGGAGTTGCTGAAGAATAGGCTATCTTTATGTTAAGACTATTGCAACACACTGTATGTCGGGGCTGCTGTTCAAAATCATCTGGAAACCTGGTCCAAAACGGGCCTTCTCAGTAGTTTACACACCAACACACTTATGGAGTAACTTTCCCAAGGAAGCTTGCCTGGCCCCATCTCTCTGGTGATGAAGTCCTTTCTTTTGATGTTGCTATCTGCAGCTCCCATTGGCCCCAGCATACATGGCCAGTGGCCAGGGATTATGGGAGCTGTGGTTCATCAACATCTGGGGGAGGGGCAAAGATTTCCCACACCTGATTCTAGGCTTTGGGTCTCCTGAACTTATATTAACCTTGCCCACCTTTGTTTCTTCCAGGTGTTTTGGACTACAGCTCCCAGCTGCCACAGCCAGCACAGTCGGGAACCCATCAACCTTGACATCATAGAACCAGGCTGGCTAGAGCTGATGAGAACTGTAGTCCAAAACATCTGGAGAGCACCAGGTTGGCAAAGGCTGGCTTCAGTAATCTGAGCCTTTGATGTTTTTTATTTTGGGGTGTGTGGCATGGCAGTTCTGTTTTGTTGTTTTTATGTAATTATTCACCCACCTCCCCTTTTAATTTTTTTAAAATTCTTTTTTAGCTCCCCCCCTCCTTATTTATCACCAGCCGTCCAAAGGACTTTGTTATGGGGTGGCATAGAAATATCAAAAAATAAATAAGGAAGAAAAAAGGTACCAAGAGTGGTGGGTGAAGAAGAAGGAATTTGCTTTGTACATATGGAGCTGACTTCGACAAAATCTGATCATTGGTCTGTTTGTCTCAGTATTTTCTGCACTGGCTGGCAATAGTTCTACAGGGTTTCACAGTCAGGTGGTATTCCCAGCTCCTAGAGGTGCCTGCGATTGAACTTTGGACTTTTTACATGCAAAACATGTGCTATACCACTCAGCTGTGGACCTTCTAAAGATAATGTAAAGTTCTGATCCTCACGCTTATGAACAGAGGGCTGGTTTAAATAGGAACATTCCTTCCACAGAGCTAGACTCATTGGTGTATCTAGCATTGTCAACACTGGCTGGCAGTGGCTCTCCAGGGTTTTGGACCAGGAGTCCTTTCCAGCCTTACCTGGAGATACTGAGGATTGTAAGCTGCCCAGAGTGGCTGGGAAAACCCAGCCAGATGGGCGGGGTATAAATATTATTATTATTATTATTATTATTATTATTATTATTATTATTAAAAATGCCTTCTGCATGAAAAACAGTTTACCACTAGGCTACAGCCCATCTCCAAATACAGTCTCTAGAGATGTATGTGAGGGAACATGGAGGGCTCAATGAGAATGCCAGGAGAGGAGAAGAGCCGGTTAGGGAGACTCGGGAAGAGGGTGGGGTTGGTGCAATTATGCACAGGGTGGTATGGGAATCCACTGGGTCCAGGTGTTCCAGGAAGGAAGGGCAAGCTGAACCGAGATCAGGGAGGTGGGAAATCAAGAGGTACAACTAGAGGCATGCAGGGGCTTGTTTTGTCTTAGAGATGGAAGTTTTGCCGGTGGCAGAAGGCTGAGCAACGAAAGAGCAGCAAAGGGAAGGAAAGAACGCTCCGGGCAACATTTTGGCTAGCTGTGTTTTTCTGGCAGGAAAAAGAAATTAAACCTTAAAAAGACGTAACAAATGTATTATGGTGGAAGCTGTCATGGACTGGAGTCTAGTGCCCTCAGATACGTAAAGTAACTTGTCTGGTGTATAAACCCTGCCATATGCGAGCAGTGTGGTGTCTAAAAGTATGCTTGGCGTGCCGAAAGTGGACAGAGAGTTGTTCTCTCCATCTCTCATAACACCAGAATTCAGGACCATCTAATGAAGCTGAATCTTGGAAGATTTAAAAGGAAATATTTTTTCAGACAGTGCATGATGAAACTGGAATCCTCTCTCACAAGAAGTAGTAATGGCTCCCAACAAGGATTAGATAAATTCATGGAGAATAAGGCTATCAGTTGTTACTGCCTATGATAACCGTACATTACTTCCAGGATCGGAGGCATAATGCAAGTTGTTTGGGATCAGAAGTGGGAGAGTTGCTGTGGTTGCACTCAGGTCCTGCTGGAGGCTTCCCCTTGGGGAAGTGTGAGAACAGGATGCCAAACCAGATCAGCCACTGAACTGCAGTGCGCTTTTAAAGTTTTTATGAGGGCTGGGGGGAATTAATATAGATCATGACAAGCACATTTATTTATTTTTTATATATATATAAAACCTTCATTCCTGCCCATCATCAGAAGACCTCAGGGTTGGTTACAGCAGCTACGTAAATAAAACCCAATAATAAAATATCACATAATGTTGTCAAGTATGCTTGTTTCTCACTACACAGGCTGATATTAGTCTTCACAGAAAGGCAGGTCCTCAGCCAGCATCTAAAGCTGAATACAGTGGTACCTCAGGTTAAGTACTTAATTCGTTCCGGAGGTCCGTTATTAACCTGAAGCACCACTTTAGCTAATGGGGCCTCTCGCTGCCGCCGCGCTGCCGGAGCACGATTTCTGTTCTCATCCTGAAGCAAAGTTCTTAACCCGAGGTACTATTTCTGGGTTACCAGAGTCTGTAACCTGAAGCGTATATAACCCGAGGTACCACTGAACATTGCTCTATCCTGGCTCAGTCTTAATCTCAGGGTTGTGGGTTCAAGCCCCACAATGGGCAAAGGATTCCACATGGTCTTATCCAACTCTGCAGTACCATGAATGCTGGGGTCGGCCTAACTCCCAGAGGAAGTGCCTTCCACAACTGGAGCTTCTGTTGCTGAGAAGGCCCTCTGATGGGTGACTGGTCCTCAGATTTAACTAGTTATATTAGTTAAAGTGCAGTATTCATATGCCATTTAATTACCTAGATCTCTAAACTCTCTGTAAAAAATAACAAAAAGCACATAGTGGATAAAACCTATTAAAATCACCATGCAACAGAAAACTTCATTGCAGTGCATTGCTGAAATGGAAAGGCTACTGCAGGAAGACCTCTCTCCTCCCAGTCAGGAGGAAGCGCCACATAATTGGGCCCACAGTACTGAACACACTTAAGGCTGGAACTTGCAGCAGGGCATCCCCGGCAGATGTTGGGTCCCCAGCAGGACGATATGGCGAGATGCCCAGATCCCAAGTTGTTAAGGGCATTATATGGCAAGAAGCTACGGCTTAAATCAGTGTAAAGTAATTGTTATGTCATCAGGAAGCAGTGCTGCTGTTCACACGTCCTGGCATTGATAGGGCAGTTGAAACTTGTAGTAAGGTAAAAACCAGATCTACCGTAAGCTGTATGTAGGAAGCTGCCTTATGCTGAGCCAGATCAACACTGACTGGCAGCTGCTCTTCATGGTTTCAGGCAGGGGAGCTTCCCAGCCCTGCTTGGAGATGCTGGGGATTGAACCTGGATGAATCCATGGAGGGTCAGAAGAGGGGTGTCGAGCTATGCAGGCCCACAGAAGTAAACTAGCCCTCAAATATTTTACCTGGAGCCAGCCAGGTA